CGTGCTGGAGCGTCGGGAGGAGTGGAGGCAGACCAAATTTAGGGCACTTTAGGCGGGGGCGCCGGGAAAATATATAGTTATGTGGTACATTTTTTATATATATGAGCCATGACATACCATACATGGACACATGGTTGGGGGATTATGATTTAAGTCCTAAAGATCTGAACATGAACATAATTAGCAACAATCAAGAACTAAACGACATACGGGTAAAGAAAAACAAGGATCAAAAGGGACTAGTATTCATTCGATTCTGTTTGCTAATGGGGGAGGGGTAACTCTTAGGAGTTAACAGACACTACGCCCATTTCAAGAATTAGTGCACTGGTAGTATGAAGCAATTGAAGGGGGCCTTTCGAAATTCGAGATCACTTTTTCAGAAATGAGGGCACTTCTCACAAGATTCGAGCGTCATCAAATATGTCCGAATTCTTTTGTTTTTGCATTTGACATTATAACAGCTATACTTAAAGGGGAAGACCAACGATAATCAACAAGGTTTCAATAAGTAATAAATATATATTCAGAAATAATCCCCACTGTTACAACAAAAGCACAAAAGATTTTGTAAGTCAGAAATTATTGTTTTATTTAAACGGGAAGTGATGTAATTAGTCTCTAGAGTAAACATACAGATTTGCCACATATCCACGGCCCGTAACAGAGACATCTGGGCCATGGGACAATCAACTCGGCCAGAGGGGGTGGGGGGCTCTCACACCAATCTCGAACGATTTTAAAAGACATAGCCCCTGGTGCTCTCTCCTCGCATCTGAGTGCATTCCTGGGCCTCAAATTGAAATGCCTCAGGCAGGGTTTTTATGGCTGAATTTTCAGAAATTTCCTTCTTCGACTTCTCCCGTCGATATCATCTTGAGGGTAGAAGAGTGTCTTTAAGATTTACGCGGAGAACTTTAGGCCGGGCAATATAGCTGTAGTATCAAATTTCAAGTGAACTATAGGTGTTCTATTATTCTATTCATATGATTACAGTATAGGCCCGCTTTGGGGTAATTTTTTTATATTTTTGTAGGTAGCTCCTTTGTTCTACAATGACAAGATTTACAAGAATGTTCTGCTCCATTAATTTGTCTATAAAACAGCTGCAACATTACATAAACATATCACTTTGGGGCGCGTTCGTGTTAACTACTAGTATTAGCTGGTGATTTCATTTCTGTTTTCGACGATCCTACAGATAGTTGCCTTCGTTGCCATCTGCAGTTTATCAACCCATGCTAAGCATAAAGTAAGTTAACTGTTTCATTTCATTGAATTTAGAACCGCGGTGGCTTAGTTTGATATGTAACTTTTTTTTATTTAAAACAGTCGGGAATTGTTTTGTTAATGTTTCTGCCTATTTCTCTTGGTTTCTATGGAATGATAACGTTGTCAAGATTATTTCAATGTTCACTGAACTAACTGCATATGTCAGCATCCGCATTTTGCATAATAGACACATGCATAATAGAACTTCGCATAGTAGAACATATACCTTATAGGGGATCCACGACGAAGCTCATTTGCATACGGAAAAAAGTTCGGACTATGACGGAAATTAATAATTTACGTGACTAATCTACACGGTCAACGTCAGTAGAAGTGACCGAGATTAATCTGGCATACAATAAGTCACCATACAATAAGTCGGCTTACCATGTAATAAGGGCGAATCAAGATAGCATGCAATAAGAAATTCGCTGGATGACCATGACTTCTGTGAAATCATGCGCTCGGTATGGCTAATCCGAGCCTTCGATAAGCCCAACATTTTTACTTCACCCTCCCCCCCCCCCTTCGCTTCAACTGTAATCTTTATATCTTTTTTTTCAAAGTAGGAAGCCACGGTGGCTACGTGGGTAAGACGCTGACTCGCTAATCTGGATTTCGCGTGTTGGATCCCTGCATTGACCGAGAAAGTTCATCGGGATTTTCCGACGTTGTTTCACCTTGTCCGTGGTGCAGGAAGGAGGGCCTGACCAGGACAGCTGTCTAGTCGTTCGGATGGGACGAAAAACCGAGGTCCCGTGTATACATTGGCGTGCACGTAAAAGATCCCTAGGACATAGTGTGGCTGCCCGGGCAAAATTTCCCTTATAGCACACTGCATGGCGTATGGCTGTCTTCATTTGCCCGGTCCAAGCAGAACAGTGGGACGTTAAACCCCATTTCACTTTTTCAAAGTATGTAAATATAAATGTGCCAGAAAATTATTTAAATATTTGAAAAGAGAAATGAACGATCTTTTTAGTGATAAGTAACATGATAATTGTATGTTTAATATAGTTTCGTACCACCCGACTATGATCGTTTTTATTTCCCCTTGTAATGGTGCGGGAGGGCCTGACAAGGACAATTGTCTAATCGTTCGGATGGGACGAAAAAACAAGGTCCCGTGTACACATTAGCATGCATGTAAAAGATCCCTTGGCAGTTGATATTCGATACAAGAATAGGCTGTGTACATGGCGTATGCTCGTTTTTCATTAGCCTAGTCGAAGCAGAACAGTATGATGTTAAACCCCATTTCGTGTCATTTCATTCATCGTTTTCTGAAGGTCTGTAAATATTAGTACCGCCCCCTTCTACTGAAAAGATCGATCGCGTAAATTATTAATTTCTGTATGCAAATGAGCTTCGTCGTAGATCCCCTATAATGTATTTGTTCTAATATGCTAAGTTCTATTATGCATTTGTCTATTATGCAAAATGCAGAACGGAGAAGTGTAAAGTGCAAAATAACTATTAAGCCGGGATTCCATGTGTATGTACTGCGTAATGCGGAATGCGTAGTACGTAATGCGTATTTAACACTTTGCACTAAAATGGTAGGAGTTGATTCCATGTACACGTAATGCGTGATGCGCAGCGCGTAGTACGTGTTTCTCGGGACGCTCACAAGAGTGTCCGAATACGCAATACGCGTGTATACGGAGACCGGAAACGGGGATTCCCCAGGGGTTTTCCAATCGGCAGATGGCAATATTCGGTTCTCATCCACATATAATACGCCACTCACGCACACATGGAAACTGACAATACGCGTTACGCAACACGCATCACGCATTCCGCACGCATTCCGCACGCACTGCGTACATATGGAATCCCGGCCTTATACTGTATTTTGTACTATTTAAAAGTGTATTCTGCATTTTAACACTGTGACAATTGAAATTGTAAATTGTAAAACTAAAATACGTATTTTGAACTGCTGACTTATGCATTTTGCACCGTGAAAATTGAAATAATATTGGGTACAAGCCCGGAATCGAAAGAGAGAGAGAGAGAAATGGGGTTTAACGTCCACTTGACACAAATTAGGTCATTTCGGGATTAACATATGGTTTAATTTTATTTCTTTAGCAGTGGGAGGAAACCGGAGGTCCTGGAGAAAACCCACATGATTGGACAGGCGACCCTACTCCTTGTCACGTACAACCGGGGATTCGAAACCACGCCAGTTGACTCAATGACAGGCCGTATGATACCGCACGCACGTGCTTACCATTCGGCCATCCACCACCCCCTCCCCCATTCCCGGAATCGAAACCATCCCCACTGCGTTCACTTAGAAGAAGCCTTGACAATTGAATTATTTGACTCAATGACAGACTTCCTGATCAAATGTGTGCGTGTTAATCATTGCCCCCCCCCCCCCCCCGGGTTCCCGTTAAAGAACCCTTGACAATTGAAATATTTGATATAAGAGTAGGGTGTAGGGCAGAATCACTCTAAGAACACAGAAAAGTAGGATACTAAACCGTATTTCATTTCATAAGCAAGGGAAAGTCACCTTTATGTAGGTCAAGGTTTTTTGTAATTCTGGGTGTATTTGATCTACATTTGGTTTCTAGTAATGCCTATTAAATACTTTATGATTTCTGACCAAATTCTAAGTGATTTATATGCCACTTTACTTGCTATATTATACATACATTTCTGAAGCGAATTAAAATCTAATTGTGTTTTGGAAGAAAATTTAACATTAATAACAAAAAATAAATATTTAAAAATTGGGTCAAATGCATTCTTTCCCAGAAGTATAAAATAAATTTATGCTTGGGTTTTCTTGTTGTTATCATACAGCAAATACTCTTTCAATGGTGTTCCAGCCTAAAAAATAAAAAGTAGGAGATAAGAATACTTTCTATGGTTCACAACGTTTAAATAAACAATTTATTTTGCCACATCGAGACCGAGTCTCTATTTGGTTTAAACTTTGCGTAACGCTTATTGTGTCTTGTCCAGTTACAGACCCAGGCAGATTATTATGCTCAAATCAAATGAGTTAGAAGTCAGAAAAAAGTCTTGAGATTTGGGACTGAAGTCTCATAATAGGTCAACTATTCACCCTTTCATACATGTATTGTCTGCAAATCCAGATTTCCTACTACATCATGGCAGCACCTATTTACTTGGCAATGTCTAATTATTTTTGGACCCATTCTTATTTTATTTCCATTGACAACAAATTGGATATTACCCTTTAAAATCTACTGAAATCTATTTGAAAGTAAAATACTGTCCATCATTATTTTACTGCTATTTACTGTAAAAATACACATAATGTAGGGCCTATCGCAACTTGAAGGAAATCAATGGATGTGATTGGCAAATATCAAGCATGCCAAGTACTTGAAACAGCAGAGTCCTAGGCATTGCCCCAAGAAGAATAACTAGATTACCAAGCAAGTGTATAGAAGTACTTCCTGATTAAAAATACAAATATATATGTTACTTACATTTTGCGTGTTTTCCCCTTGTCAGTGATACAGGACGGAGGACCTGACAAGGACAGCTGTCTAGTCGTTCGGATGGGACGAAAAACCGAGGTCCCGTGTACACATTGGCGTGCACGTAAAAGATTCCTTGGCAATTGGAATTCGATATAAGAGTAGGCTGTAGCGCCGCTGCCCGGGCAAAATTCCCTTCATAGCACACTGTATGGCGTATGCCCGTCTTCATTAGCCCAATTTATGAGCAAAACAGTAGGAATATAAACCCCATTTCATTTCATTTTCAAAATTATAAAATAATTTGATGGCTTAATATTCAAAAGGTACAGTCCTTCATGTTTATAAAATTGTACGGGAGCCATAAAAAGCTCCTGATACCTTGAATATATGCAGTTTAAAAGTAAACAAAAATCTCAATATTTAGGAGAGAGAGAGAGAAATGGGGTTTAACGTCCATCCAACCCCCCACCAAGTGTATAGAACCAGTTCCTGATTTAAAAAGCAAATATGCATGGTACTTACATAGTCTTTGTCTGATAAGCAAGATCTGTGAGAAAACGTCTCCACAATATCAATAGCCCTTTCCAACTTGATCTTCCGAGGTGGGTAACTGAAAAAAAAAATGGCAATGTATTAGTTGGCTTAAATTGACTAGACAGTTTTGATTAATTAAAAAAATGTTAATTTAATTACATTTGTTTTGTTTTATGTGTTGGTTTGCTTTGCCACAGATGAGACAGTGATATCTACATATAACTAAGATTCTGTCTCTGCTCATACATGACGTGTACAGTTTTACTATACTAAACTGAATTTTAGATTTCAAAATAGCATAACAATCTTTTCTATTAGAATTGAATAGTTACCCACCAAGAAAAAGCTGCTCTATCATCATTTTTTCCAGCCATTTCTTCTTCCATTTTTTTCTTTTATAATTTCTTTTGTTATTACATGATATTTTTCTGGGTGATTTGCATATACATCCAATATTGAAACTGAAAAAATAAATACATGATATGTAATTTACGATTAAAGCTACCTTACCATATATACAAACTGTGTGATATGAAATTGAAACTAATGTATCTATATGTATCAAAAGTTTTAATCCCAAGGAACTACCAAGCCGTAAAAGACTATCTTAATAATCCTTGTTTGTCACATGGTTTCACTGTCGCAGTAATTAGAAGACGGCCATGGTGACTGAGTAAATTAGGTGCTGGCACACTAGCATGGAGGCCACAGGTTATCTCTTGGGGTTGACCGAGAAAGCTCATCTTGATTTTGCAGAGTGGTTTCCCCTGAGATCCAATGTACACATTGGCGTACACATAAAAGTTCTCTTGGCAGTTTGAATTCGGTATGAGAGTAGGCCATAGTGTCGCTGCCCAGACAAACATTTTCACTTAGCACAATGCATTAGACCAGTCGGAGCTGACCAGTAGGACGTTGTCTTTAAACCCCATTTCATTTCAGGTAATCTAGTATTTTTCTAGTAAGATTGAAGTCTCTCTACTTTCTTTATATGTAAATATCATATTTGAAATAAGTCATACTTTTATTCGATATGGGGTGGGGCTGGGGGGAATGGTCTAGTAGGTAATGCATGCGCATGAAATCACAGGGTCTGTCATTGTGTTAAGTGGCATGGTTTCAATTTCAAGGAGTAGAGTCGCCTGTCCAATCTCTTGAGTTTTTTCGCTGGGTCATTCGGTTTCCTCCGTTTTCTAAATACATGTACCCCTACGCCAAGCGAATTATTCATATTAAATTGAAGCATACCTTCTCTAATCTCTGGGTCCTTTTGTTTCCTCCTTTTGCTAAATACCCATACCCGCAAGCGAATTATTCATATTAAATTTAACCTTACCTGTCCTTTTTCCTGAAACGACCTAACGTCTGTAGGCTAAGTAGATATAAGGACCCATCTTGCAACAACTCTACATGTAGGTTCGTGCATAATTAATATTACAGTAACATACCAATTTTTAATACATGTAGAATGAGACAGTGTGCAGGGAAAGGGTGGAAACAGAAGTAGGCTAATCCTCGTCGTAGTTGATTACCGGTATGCATATAGGCACAGCATGGACTACTTGATTCTTCAAATACAAGTACATGTAAGGCCTTGTTTATGTCATTTCTCTCTCTCTCTCTCTCTCTCTCTCTCTGTTGCATGTAAGTGCCATATAAATACTTTATTTTGGATTGTATGTTCACATACACTAATCATTGTAGGACATTGGTAAAAAAAAAAAAAGAAAATATAAAAATTAATTGAAATTTTTACCTGTTTTTCTTCGATTCAATGCCAATGGAGTCCTTGGTAAATTCTCAATAATTATTGCTGGAAGATGGAAAGAGTCACATATCATCACTGACTGGAAAAAATAATAAAACTATAGAGAAACTTCCACAGGCTGATTCTAGTTCCATTATTTATTAACTGTGACTGAATCAGGCAAAAATGGGGCCTAATATTAAATATTACACAGACTCACAGAGGTTGAACAACGGATTACATGTCATTTGGGACTCGCGTCATTTGGGACTCAAAAAAATATGACCACGACATTTGGGACTCGGGTATACGACGTTTGGGACTTTGATATACGTCGTTTGGGACTCTGGTTAACGACGTTTGGGACTCGGGATAATTTATTAGAAATAGGCCAATTCAAAACAGGAAAGAAAATATTTATTAACATGAAACACGTGGTTAGTAAAAGGCTCAACCAAACGATAAAACATTAGTTGCACTTACGGTTCTTTGATAATCATCGTTTCTCATAAAAGTTTTATATTTATTTAAAACGAATAATATGCTGATGAATTTATTTGAAAATGACCTACACAAAAAACAAAATAAATATTTACACGACATGCAATCTTTTTTTACAAGCCCCTAGAAATTGTTAACGATAATCCGTGAGCTGCACGTTGACATGCTTGTCGTAGATGGCAATACCAATTGATAAATTAGTGCGTACAAGGCAAAGTTTTTTTGTGGAAAATATAAGAAATGGCAACGAACAAAGCGGGATAATTAAAGCTGATAATCCCAATGTTATTACAGTATGTTCAAAGAAACCTAACGGTTCTTTGGTGGATGAATTGCAATGTTTGTTTTGTGTTCTGGGCGCCATTTTGAAAAAAAACTGACATGACCTATATAATACAATCCAGCGATAGTGCAGTCAATTTCCTTTAAAAGGGAATCCGAATTTGTTAATTTTCTGCAATATCACTTCGGTGGTAGCGGACGTTAAATAAAGCTATTTCACATACAAAGACCTACAATAAAATCCAGGTGAATTGGGAAAAATATTCATGTATGTTCTTGATGAAGAGTAGCTATTTCAATTTGTAAATGCCCAGTCATCTTAGACAAATAATAATTCCAACTTCAAATCAGTTGTATTTATTCAAATCATACTATGAATAATTGTATTTTTCCACTTGCATAATAATAAAAACTTGACTTTTATTATTTTATTCCTTCAGGCCAAGAACATGGAAAATTTGTAATTGCCTTGTATCACTGCTAACTATAAGGCACAGGGAGCCTTGGGCAGAAATGATAATAATATGGTTCTCAGATATGTTACTGTGTACAGACTGAACAAAAAATATATATACACATGCTATTACATGTACATTATATCATTGGCAATAATAAGATCCAATTTTAGTTTTTAGTTACACACTGTTAACCACCAATAGATGACAATAAATCATAAAATGTATTCAACTCGACGTAAGACTTAAATAAATAGATACAGTTGGTTTAACTTGAATAGAAGTTTTAATTATCTATGCTGCATATATGCATATATCACCTTGCAGCTGAATCACATTACATATCTTTTTAGTTGATGTTCATATCGTCTTACGTATTTGTCAACATCAATGTGACCTTGTTCTATGTCACATTAGCCTTTTCAGACTTGTTACCACGAATTTACTCACCACACCCTCGCATAGTTATGAATTTATTGTTTCACTTGACTAAAGAAACATTTTGTAGGAATGTATGCTTTTATAGATTGGACACTTGTTTGCAATATCATTGTCGGTGGAAACTGGCACTATACCTAAAGAATGACTGAACAAATAGCGGAGACGGGGTTTCAGCCGGCTGATTTAAATTATTTCTTTAAATACAGTAAAGCTTGAAATATGTCAGTTTTCACTCTTTAGAATGTTTTTGTAAATAAGTTTTTATTGTAGTTTCCGTGGCGTATTCCCAATAAGCGTTAGAAACAAAGATATACACCCTTAATCCCGGTGCCGATAAATGTTGGGTTGTATGGAACATGCTAACAAATCTCGGGTACGATATATGTTTGATTCTGGTTGAGAACAGCATGAGAGCAACACGATTGTTTTCATTGGAGATGAGACGCAAATATTCAAAGGGGTCAGACAAACTCTAAACCAACCGCGTTCCCTTCACTGAGTCCCTTCAAAGGAGGCCCTGTCTGTCTACCTGTGGAATAACATGCATTTGTATCTGTTAAATTTGTGTGGTAGACAGATTGATATTATTTATATAACGTCTTACCCCAAACAAATTGCAAAAGAAACCATGAAGTTTCTGAGAGCGATATTTCGTAATTAGTGTGCTTTAATGGTGGGAGAATAAATAATTTCTTTTTAAATTTTTCAAACACAAACTGGTCATATATAAAATAGCATTTTCTGACAAGACCAGCGATAATCTCGTAAGATATGACTTTTACTATGTCTATTAAATGGTTTTCGACGTCTCTTCAAGGTCAAAGTCGTGAAACGCACCGTCGGGGGATTTGTTGGGGCCTGTCTCCCCCAGAAAAATTTCTAGAAATTTCAAGTCGGTCTTGCCTGGCCGTGAATACGGCAACCTGAAAGTGGTCGATTTTAATGTAGACATCTGAACTCCAATCAACAAATCAATCAACCAGGCTGTTGTCGTTGCATTCACACCAGACGTGTCACCGATGAAACAAATATGCCTGAAACAAATGTCGCTGTTAGTGCAACCCATTTATGACAATTTCAAGGTCCCAAATAATAGTCCTTTTTTACTATTAATAGTAATTCAATCAGTAAGTGCTATTTACCTTATAATAGTCGTCTTGGCTTTTACCCGACATTACACAAAACACCAATGGTAACTGTCGGGTGGTCTCTCCAGTCTTAATGAAGGCGTGGATGGAAAATAGCTGAGACCATGGCTTGTTCACCACCTGAAAAGTTGCATCCATATACCAAGTTTTTGCGCGTGCGAGTAGTTGCATCTGTCTATCAGTACAAAAAATGTGATGGCGCCTTTCCCAAACTTTTACTCTTTTTTGATAAAATCCCGGTGCACTATGATCGATGAAATCTTCGTCAAGCTAAAACAAAAAATAAATAAAAAAGTACATTTAATTACATGTTAATAAATAAATAAAATTTTACATTTAATTACATGTTAATAAATTCTTATATACATGGGTATTTAATTGCATGAGTACTTACGCTTGACTACACGTCAGTGGGATCTTTTGGTCGCAGAGTCTGTCGGGTTCTTTGTAGCGACCTTACAAGTGCTGCCATGGGTGGTCTGCTATGAATGGGTTCTTCTGCAGAACCGACACTGGATAAAACTCTCTCCGCTATTGAGGAACATGACTTGGTAAAAACATTTCCTTTGGCTTCATGCTTTGCCTGTAATTATTAGATAAAACATATTAAACTACAAATATATTATTGGTTTATTTATATTTTATTTATTTACACACATATATAAATTTTTAATTTAATTGATATATAATTTTTAAACCTACTGTAACTTTTATCTTGGTAGCCGTGTGTATACCGGGTTCTGCTGGGTGAAGATGGTTCTTTAAGCCTGGTTGGTATGTATCACCATCTTGGATTACTGTTGCCGGACATCGTGTTGGTCCGCTTCTTTTGGAACACCTCCAAATCGTAGTTTTCTTCTCTGTCTAAAATATATTAAATTCATTTATTATTATAGAGTTAACTAGGTTAACTAGAGTTAATTATCTTTACATTTTGTAGCTGAAATACATTTCTATACAAGGTAGTTAACTAGGTAAAATAAATCACCCTACCTTAATTGTATAACTAAACCCTTGGTTGTCAAACAACTTGGACTTGCCACGGGAGGTACCAGCTTCTACCTGCGTATACACTATAAACCGCAGAATGCCTCGTTCAGCATTTCTGTCCAAACGAGGCAAAAACGTGTCAAAATTTTTGCCCCGATTTTGCCTCGATTTTGCCTCGTTGTAACGAGGTAAAAAAATACCTCGTTTCTCTGGAGTTCCAAAACGTGGTTTTTTTAAATTGCCCTGTTTTTGGAACGAGGTATTTTGTTCAGAACGAGGCTGGGTAAAATTGCCTCGTTTACTAAACGAGGTATTTTATCCAAGATAATTATTAGCGGTATTTGCTGTCAACAAATAGAGCCATACAAATAATGTTCGGACCATCATGTGACCAATTGCAGATCTACAAATTAGATTATTTATTTGGGACATGATATTGTTCATAGTTATGGCTTACTACACTGGAGTTCTATTGTGTATAATAAACGCTTCCCAAGCGAAACAAAACATAACAATGTCACGTGACAATATTACATACGGCGGATACAAGCGCTCTTTGATTACATGCTGTTTGGTTTGATTATTAAATAATACGGTAATCTGTATTTATGGGAAAAGGAGAATGAATTTCCCCAAATCCAAAACTAGATGACTGGAATATTTATTGAATGGAAAGTGAATATTTTATAAACAAAAATATTCGGATTTGCAGTTTTCTAGCTTAGGTGGATTTGTGATTTGAATCTAGAACTCAGTGTTTTATACATTTTATTATAAAATTGTAATAAATGTTTTACATGAATGAATAAAATCTACAATTTAAAAAAATACAATAACATTGTGATTTGACGCTCTACAAATCACTAAAAGTATAACAATTGCTTGTTGAAAAGGCGTTACTAATATGTTTTTTTTTCCAATGAAGCAAAACCTACTTTGAAATATATTCAAAAAGAATGCGTCCTTTACAGATTTCAATATAACCACAAATGGTTGATTGTTTTAATGCTTAGATAAGTATGGGCATATGCCATACAATGTGCTATGAGGGAAATTTTGCCCAGGCAGCGGAACTATGGCCTATTGTTATACATGTATCGACTTTCAACAGCCAAGGGACACACAGACCTTGGGGTTTTTTTTGTCCCATCTGAATAACTAGACATCTGTTTTTCTCAGGCCCTCCGTTTGAACTGCACCACTGACAAAGCGAAACCCCGCTGGAAAATCCTGATGAACTTTCTCGGCCAATGCATTGATAGGAAATAGCATAGATCAAATATTAGTAATCTAGATAACGAATGGATACCAAAATAGTCTCATAGATTGGTCCTAGAAAGTATATATATTGTGTATTGTAATGTGGCCGACAAAGGAGGTTATAATATCATCGTATGGCCCCGTAGAATTACAAAAAACAACCATATTTTGCTTAAAACTGTTGTTTATCAATACCGGTATACTTATTGAGGTTTTTTCTATGTTGGGCTTTCTGTGATTATAAAGAAAAAAATCATTGAAATGTTCAAAGAAATATCATAGACCAAGAAAATTACATCATGGATTTAAAATAGAAGTCAATTAGGGGGAGAGAATTAGGCCTACTAGCTGACTCCTTTATTAGGGTTGTCTTTCTTGCTTTTATCTTCCATTTATTTACGTTTTTGTTGTCTCAGAGATGGACTATTATTTAAAAAAAAAGTTGAAAATCGTAAAGTTTAGGAAATGTTAATCATATAATGATGAAAAAAAAATAAGAGCATATGATAATAAAAATGTGTTTGAAATTGAAGGCTCTATAATTAGCCTATAATTAAGGTATCAGTATGGAACGGATCGTAATCGTACGGTATTCACTACGGTCAGACTGATAATAATTTAGGGACGTAAAGTTATCAGTCTGGAACGGATCGTAATCGTGCGGTATTCACTAAGGTCATACTGATATTTAGGAACGTAAAGAAGACCATTTTACTAACCGTCTCCATTTTAAGAAAGAGCAGATATAAATATATGATTATATCGACAGAATCTCCACACGAATCTTTAATTTAGTAGAAGAAGAGCAAGTTGATCATTGTCGCCATATTTGACCTATTTCTCTATTGGTTGTATATGCATTAAGGCGTGGATCTAACCAACCCGAGTAGCTCATTATTGAGCCGAGAGATTTATGAAATGAAATTGGGGTTTAATGACCGCATTCCTTCACTATTCAGGCTAATGAACACGAGGCGTTCAAGCCAGCTCTTTATTCACAGAGCCGCCTGGCTCCCCTGAGAGACTTTCACTGACAACTAGTCATTGTCGAGACTAATGATTTTTATCGCCGCTGTTGATCAATATATATATTAAATAATAGCCCGAATTTAAGTATACCAAAAGTTAAAGAAATATAACCAGTTTTTGAGCCATTCAGATATGACTGCCAAAATTGTAATCAGCGCGCATGTTTTTTTAGGCTAAAGTCTAACCATAAAACTTAGTGTCCATACATAATAAATATTTTATTCCATTAATCAATTCCATTCCGCCATTGGTTTGTCTTAAACTCGTCATTTGTGTTCATGGGCATCAGGGTCGAGATGGCAACGTTATATGTTTTATTCGTCTAATTTACTATATAAAACATCATTCGGTTTGCCTCACGGGTTAACGGCATATTAATAGCTTTATTCACTGAGATGGTTCCTTTACTTATAGTTTATTTTTCGAATTGCTTTTTGTATTTATTTAAATGGAAATATTTAGCACCTTCTTGTTAAACCGTTGAAAGATTTAAAGTTTGGATTAATGTGGGTCAAAGTTGCCGCTGGCAGAGTGTGTATAGGGTGTTAAAGTTTAAAAGTTATTCCCTACAAGGTGGTTCTACGGTTCTTACCATAGAATCCAGCTGTGAAATAACACAGTTTCTTTCATTATGTGTACAACAATAAAACTAGTTCAATTGCAAGTTGTCTAAACCACGGTGCTGTGATGTATGCATCTAAATGTTTCGACGACCCACCAATCAGTAGTTGCATGATGATTAAATTTATCGGACATGGAATGTGAAAATGCTTTGGAACTTTCAACTGTAACACGTTGCAATAATTACTCAATATAAGCCAAAAGGATCCGCCTTGTTCATTTATAGTCCGGCCCTGTCTTCAGTATTAAAATATAAAATTGAACACAAAGTATATTTAGTAATCCGTATTGTAGTAATGGCAATCACGGCTTGTGTTTTTTTGTTTTGTTTTTTGTTGTTTGTTTTTTTTTGCAAAATATAAAATAATTACGATGTCGTTTAACACTCACAATAACATATTTGGTTACCGGCCATTCAGCCATTCAGGTCGTACATGTGTCAAGTATACAGTCATATATACAAACGTCTAACTATAGAAGCCTACCATTCTTAATTTCTACTTTTCGCCCTCCAAAACACGAAAGTCGAAAAGTAGCAGTTACGACAAAATGTGAGGCGACAGCAACGCTATACAAGCCAAAATCGACTCGAAAATAGGAAATCAAGAAATAATACACTGCGATAATAGCGCCCCTCGTTTTTTTTCCTAATTTCTTATTTTCGACTTGCATTTTGGCTTGTATACCGTCTTGTTGACTTTCGACTTAGTCATATTTTTGTATTTATTGATGTCAGTAAGATGTTACTATGGAGAACGTAAATTTCAGATTATACATTCCAGACTTCGTAATTGTAAAAGTGCTCTAAACTTCCATAGATTTTTAATGCATATTTCACATAACCCGACATGCAGTTGTGGTCATACTCAAGAAGACAGCGACCATTATTTTCTGCACTGCCCAAATTATTCGTCTCAGCGTATCTCAACATTAAATACCCTCCCATTTAAATCCATAAATACAAAAGCGTTCCTATATGGCGATACCAACGAAAGTAACCCGTTCAACAAAGTGAGTTTTAGTAAAGTTCACAAGTATTTAAAACTAAACAAGCGCTTTGAATAGATAAGGTAATTGTCAGGCGACGATGATTGGTGTTAAATAGTGATGATGACGATGATGATGACGATGATGATGACCATGAAGATGATTTATTTATATATTTATTTATATACTAGAAGAATGCCCGGCTTCGCTCGGGGGTCATAACTCCGAAACCGGACGTGGTAGACTAACGCCACCTGGCCTATGTTACTCCCCGGTATGAGCTACCCCTATACCCCAAATTTCAGACTCGGAAATGACAACGTGAATGTGTTAACGATCGTTGACGTCTGCAAGAACAAACTTTACAAAGTACACACACGCTGTAATAAAGAGGGACAGAAATGGGGTTTAACGTCCACTCGACACAAACTAGGTCATTTCGGGACTATGGTTTAATTTTATTTCAATAATTCGCTTGCACGTAGGGGTCTTTAGCAGTGGGAGGAAACCGGGGGACCAGGAGAAAATCCAAGAGGTTAGACAAGCGACCCTACTCCTTGTCACGTACAACCGTGGAATCGAAACCACGCCAGTTGACTCAATGGCAGAACTTATGATACAACGCGCACGCGCTAACCATTAGGCAATCCACCCCCCCCCCCCCCCTATGCACAAAGGAACAAGAATACCAAATTTCATGTCGAGCGTACCAAAATTGACGGAGCCGTGGGATTTTTTATGAGAGCGCTACCCCCATGAACAACAAGACGAGGAGCGCATTGGACCTAATTTCTGGTCCAAAATGTCTGAATCTGAAATTGCCATTTGTATTCCACAGTGTGCAAATAATAAAGTTGCATCTTATAGCGTTGTTATAGCAACGCCTGTAAACGGCCATTACATATAAAAACATTCCTATATTTTGTTTTGTGTTTACTTTTGTAGATTAAAAAAGAGAATAGAAGATGCCTTTTACAAGTCCAGTAGGTAGGCTAAATATTTATTAGATTTTTCTATGCCTGCATTAAAATGTTGTCGCATATTGTCGTCATCCCCGCTCATCCATCGGTTCGTCGCAGACAATTGCTTTCAAGAGAGAGAGAGAGAGAGAGAGAGAGAGGGAGGGTTTAACGTCCACTCGACACAAACTAGGTCATTTCGGGACTAACACATGGTTCAATTTTATTTCAATAATTCGCTTGCGGGTAGGGGTCTTTAGCAGTGGGAGGAAACCGGAGGACCCGGAGAAAACCCACGAGGTTGGACAGGCGACCCTACTCATTGTCACGTACAAACGGTGAATTGAAACCACGCCAGTTGACTCAATGACAGACCTTATGATACAGCCCACTCGTGCTAACCATACGGCCATACAACCCCCCTGCTCTCAGACTCTCTAGGAGCTAGTTTAAATTTATACACAGTTTTCATGTTACAAAGACGAGAAATCCTATCGATATTCAATGGTTTTTGATAGTTACTGTCGGAGTTATGGCCCTTAATCAATATTTGAAATATCATGAATACTCTAGAAGCTGAAGTTGGCTTGAAATTTTTACACGGTGTTTAAGTTCACGCAACACAGCATCCTATTGGTTTTAATTTTAGAGTTATCGCCCTAGTGGGAATATACGGACCATAGTTCTCACGGATTGACTTATATTCATGCGATGAAGAATCCTATTCAATCTGAGGGGGTTAGATGGCGGAATGGTTTAACGTGTGCGCGTTGTATCAATAGGTATGCCATTGAGTCAAGTGGCGTGGTTTCTATACCTCGTATATATGTGACAATGAAATTGGGTTTAACGTCCGACTTTTCTGCTCAAACTGTGTGCTATGAAAGAACTCGGACAAAGGCGCTATGGCCTGCTCTTACATCTAATTCCAACTGTCAAGGTTCTTTTACGTGCATGCCAATGTATACACTGTACACGGGACTTCGGGTTTTCGTCACATCTGCACGACTAGACACTGTCCTTGCCAGGCTCTCTGTCCTGCTCCGCTGACAAGTGGAAACCTCACCGCCAACACTGGGAATGAACCCGAGCCGAGACCTGGTTAGCGTGCCATCGTCTTACCCATTGATTCACCGCGGCACCGAATCTATTGCTGTGTCAGTAATTTGTGTATTTTCTTGTTTATTTTAGAGCTTAGAATGGTGATGTTAGGGAAAACAGGAGCTGGTAAAAGCGCCACTGGAAACAGTCTGCTGCAGACTAAGCTATTCAAATCCAACAATTATGGCGCGTCTGTCACCGTAAACTGCAAATTTGGAAACAGGCATCTTGACAATGGGAAAAAGTTGGTAGTTATCGACACACCAGGTATATTCGACACCAGGAAAAGCAACCTTGAAACGTCGAAAGAGGTTATAAGGTGTATCGGTCTAGCTTCACCAGGTCCCCACGTCTTTATCTTCGTTCTGAAGATCGGTCGCTTTACCCAGGAAGAGATGGAGACGATCCAACACCTCAAAGATCTGTTTGGAGAAGACGTTGTCGATTACGTGATCATTGTATTCACCGGTAAGGACTCACTTGATTACGATGATATGACCATTCATGAACATATCCAGCACTGTCCACCAGATCTACAATCACTGGTTGCCGAGTGCCATGGGAGAATAGCTACCATTAACAACCGAGCAGAACCACCGGCATTAGCAAGGGATGTTAAAGCTATTCTAGATTTAATGGCGGAGACCGTGAGACAAAATGGCGGAAAGTACTACACTGGAGAGATGTTTGAAGGAGCAGAAAGGGCATATCAAGAAAAACTTCGACTTCTCGAGGAAGAGAAAAACAAGAAAGAGCGGGAACTAGAACAAAAAGAGCGGGAAATTGAGGAAGAGGCGAAGAGAAAGATGAAAGAAATTGAAGCGATGAAACTAGAACACAATGAAGAGAAAAAAGAATTAGAGAGAATTAAGAAAAGACAACGTCAAAAAGAGCAGGAATTAGAAGACGAACGCGAGAAAATAAAGAATATCGATCCGAGACAAGAATATCGAGAGGATGTGCAGGCGAAAGATGGCGCTATTGTTGAGATTGCTCGAGGTATAGAAAAGGTTGGGCGTGGCATTGGACGGGGCATCAAAGACGTGTGGAATGGATTCCTTAGTTTTTTTTGATTAGATATTTCGTTAGCTGATGTCGTTCTTACCCGTATCCCAACACACGAATTCGAACTGATCAGCTGAAAATAATGGTTACTGTTTGATTTAAAACTATAAACTGTGTTTTTTTTTTATGCCAAATGAAATATATAAAAGATGCATCATTGGACGGGGCGCCAAAGACGCGTGGAATGGAATCGTTGGTTGGTTTAGTTAGATCGTAAGTTAGCCGAAGTCGGTCTTACCCGTATCCCAACACACGAAATGGAACTGAAGTTAGCAAACCTTTAAGCTGATAATAATGGTTACTGTTTCATTTAAAACTATAGACTGTGTTGTATATTTTATGTCAAATGAAATATTTTAAAGATACATTATGTAACAGCTCAATTTATCTATGGCAGGTCTTTTAATCACTTTATTCACATGACAAACCGAAAATCAACTCCCGAGACCATCGGATGGCCGTGGTATTAAACGGATAAAACACATCGCCATTTAATAATTTCATTTTAAACTGGAAAATCGAGACTGTATCGTTAAAATTTCAAACTCTGAAATTTTCAATATATTCATTTTTCACAGTCTGTTTAAACTATTATATCAGGACCGGTCAGCTCTGTATCTAAATCTACATACAATGTAATGCATCTTTAAATAAATCTACATAATGCATCTTTATATGAATCTACAGACATTGTAATGTAATGCATCTTTATATAAATCTACATACATTGTAATGCATCTTTATGTAAATCTACATACATTGTAATGCATCTTTATTTAAATCTACATACATTGTAATGCATCTTTATTTAAATCTACATACATTGTAATGCATCTTTATGTAAATCTACATACATTGTAATGCATCTTTATTTAAATCTACATACATTGTAATGCATCTTTATGTAAATCTACATACATTGTAATGCATCTTTATGTAAATCTTACGTAATGCATCTTTAAATTATCTTATGCTTATTATTAAAAACATTATTACCGTAAACATGCTTCAAGTAACAGAATTTAGACTCTAGTTAGCAAACATCATATAAGCTGCTACGGTTAGCAAAGTATTTATTATTAAATAATTGAGACTCTAGTTAGCAAACATCATATAAGCTGCTACGGTTAGCAAACTACTTATTATTAAATAATTGAGACTCTAGTAAGCAAACTACATATAAGCTGCTACAGTTAGCAATCTACTTATTATTAAATAAAACTAATCTCGTGCTAAATAATGAACGTGCTAAAAGTGACAGAATCTAGGTCTATGGTTTTATTTTATTTCAATAACTCCCTTGCCCGCAGGGATCTTTAGCAGTGGCAGGAAACCGAAAGACCAACGAGGTTGGACAGGCGACATCGCTTGACTCAATGCCAGACCTTATGAGTTTACACGCACGCGTTAACCATATGCCCCCCCCCCTCCCCGCCTCTTTTATGGCTATAGACTTATAGTGCACTTAAGGGAGCCTCGCTATCTCAGCGAGTAAGGCACTGACTCGCTAACCACGCGGTCTCGAGTTTTCTCCCACTGCTGGCCGAGAAGGATCCTCGGGGGATTTTCCTGTATTGTTTCCACGTGTCATTGGTGCAGCACCGAGGGCCTGACTACGTACTGATTTTATCATCCATCCATAAATTTCTACAGCTACTGCTGTTGAGAGTCCAGCGACAAACTGAACCCAGTTAATAATTATAAATGCTTTGTCCACCGGAATCACTGATAAAACACCAAACTTCTTGATGTGTTCTTGTGTAGATGTGTTCGTCCCCCCCCCCAAACACCCACAGTAGCTGAGTCGTCCGTGTAGTCTACAGGGATTGTGAATGGGGGGTATTAAGAGAAATGAAGAGCGAGAGAGAGAGAGAGAGAGAGAGAGAGGGGGGAGGTTAAAACGTTCACGACACACCCTATGTTATGTTGAAACTAACATTTGGTTCAATTTTTCTTCAATAATTGGCTTACAAATAACAAATAGATGGCTTTAGCTGTATGTGTGAGGGCCGGATTAACAATGGGGCATGGTGGGGCCCAGGTCCCCAGACCTCCGACGTCACGCCCCCCCCCCCAAAAAAAAAGTCTCAGTTGCAGGAAAAGCGATGTGATCATGGTCGGACCGAGCACTACATCTGCTAGTGGCTGGAGGTGGGCCTTTCGAGGCCCTCGATCGGATTTTCAAAGTTCTGGACAGTGGGGTCCCCTCCATTCATTGTGGGCTCGTGTTGCGGTTGATACCCGAGAATTCGATGTAATCCGGCGATGCCGCGCCGTACTTTCGACTGGCATCCGTGTTTTGTTTTGTGTTTGTTATTCAGCGGGAAAAGTGTATCAAGAAAACGCATTAAAATCCTCTTTAGCGGCAATATTTTAGTTACAACTTGTGGTGCTACTAGGAGGTGGAAGCAAGGTAACTTTGAATCCATATATATTCGATTTTTCAACGTAGAATCTGTCAAAACTGTCATTGGTAATCTTTTTGTTGCCTTTGAATCGAGGAACGTTGATTTCTGGACTCGTATTCTTCGATGGTTAGTCACTAAACTATAATTGTTTGAAATGTGGCGTGTATAATATTATGTCTAATTTCTGTATAGACATTACTTACGATATTTCACGCTTTGATTCCAACAAAACGCATTTGAATTTGGGTCAGCCGTGTTCAACGTTCGTCAAAAATCACCTCCGGTCGGTTAACTATAATCCCGTAACGTTACGAATATGACAGGTTCCCCCCTATTTATCACTGGCCGACTTCAAATTATTAGATTTGATGTAGTTACATTCATGTGTGTGAAACATTACTGCCGAAGTTCTGGTAACTTGTGTTAGGTTGTGCAGGCCACCACAACGGTTAATGTTATGTGTGTGTGGGGGTGGGGGGGCTGGAGACAATCCAAGAGGTTGGACAGTCGACACTACTCCTCGTCACGGACAAGCAGAAATCGAGACCAAGCCACTAGACTCAATGACATACATTTTGAACTGAGCTGCATTCTTAACTGCCGGGGAGCCATGGTGGCTCAGTGAGTAAGACGTTGGCTCGCTTACCTGGAGGTCCCGTGTTTGATCCCTGGGTTCGTCTGGATCTTCCGGCGTGTGCATGTAAAAGAGCTCTTGGCAGTTGGAATTCGGTATAACATTAGCCCAGTCGGGGCAAAATGAAATGAAATGGAATGGGTTTAACGTCATACTATTCTGCTCATAACCTGGGCTAATGAAGATGGTCATACGCCATGCAGTGTTCTATGAGGGATATTTTGCCCGGGCAGCAGCACTATGGCTTACTCTTATATCGAATTCCAACTGCCAAGGGATATTTTACGTGCCAATGTATACACGGGACCTCGGTTTTTCGACCCATCCGAACAACTAGTGAGCCAGCGTCTCCCCCACTTAGTCACCGTGGCTCCCTCGGGGCAGAACAGTAGGACGTTAAACCCCATTTCATTTCGTAACTGTCGTTCCATTAGCACAAGCGTAGGAGCCGTGACTAATCCCTCAGATCAACCAGAACGCGGGTTATATAACAACTCTTTCAGATCCTAGTGTAGTAAAGACAAGTAAAATGACATTTTGAACTATAAAAAGCGAAACGAAATAGTATCTGTGTTTAAATCAGATTGCGACTGATATTCCGATTAGAGATTCATCTTTCAAGTGTATCCTATATCGCTAAGTGGTGCATCGGGACTTTAATGTGTCTACACCAGTTTCAACTATTGATAGAGAGAGAGAGAGAGAGAGAGAGAGAGAGAGAGAGAGAGAGAGAAATGGGGTTTAACGTCCACTCAACACAAACTAGGTCATTTCGAGACTAACATATGGTTTAATTTTATTTCAATAATTCGCTTGCGCGTAGGGGTCTTTAGCAGTGGGACGAAACCGGAGGACCTGGAGAAAACCCACGACGTTGGACAGGCGACCCTATTCCTTGTCACGTACAACCGGGGATTGGAAACCAAACTATTGAGAGACTTCCATTATATTTTATTAAAAAACGGTACAAGCTAAACTTTGATTAACATCTGGATATTAATTGTTTTTATGTACGTCTATTCAAGATTTAGAACTTTTTACTTATTACTTCAGAAGCAACTTTAGCCAGAACTGCAGTTAAAATATCGCCAAGAGTCTTAATTATCAGTTTTACAATACTGTCCGACGACTCGACCTCTTGTCGCACTTCTTGACGAGTATCGGTATTCTTCAGTGCTTCTAACTCAGCCTCTAGTCTCTGCTTCTCGTTCTCATGCTCTTGTGTTCGCCTGGAAGCAGACGCTTCGATTTCTCTTTCCCGTTGTTCAAGTTCTTCGTGTCTCTTTTGGAGTTCTCTTTCCCTTCTATGCTTTTCTTCGTCGATTAACCTCATTTTTTCGTTGAGTGCCTCTTCTGCCGCCCTGTACATCTCTCCCGTATAGTAAGATCCGCCATTGTCATGAATGGTTCTCCTCACTAAATTAATAATGCCATCAATATCTGCTTGAAGCTCGGCGTAATCTGCACGATTATTTATTGTGGCGCAGCGTGAACGACATTGATGAACTAATTCGTTGAGCTCCGGTGGAGCGGTCTCTAGATAATCGGCCAATGTTAACTTCTCGAACGTCAGAGATTCTTTACCATTGAAAACGATTACAACATGGTTGATGACATCCTCTCCAAAGACAGCTACCAGATGATTTACGGTATCCAGCTCCTCCTTGGTGAATCGGCTGATGCTGAGGACAAAGAGAAAGACGTGTGGACCGGGTGAAGACAGGCCGATGCATCTAGCTATTTCCATCGTGTTTTCTTCGTTAGTTTTCCTGGTGTCGAATAATCCTGGTGTGTCGACGATGCAGAGCTGGGTGCCATCGCGAAGGTTACCTTGAGCAAATTTACATTTAGACGTGACAGACCTTGCAATAGTACTTGATTCAAATTGATGTCTTCCCAGCAGGCTATTACCCAACGCGCTTTTTCCCGCGCCTGTTTTACCGACCATAACCATTCTGATTTCTGAAATGAAAACGAAAATTATAATTCTAATTTCTAAAATGAAAATGAAAATTACATTTACTAAGCCTTTGTAAGATTGAGATAAGAACTGACCGGTTCAAAAAAGATAACGAAAAAATTAATATATTATTGGAAATTTCAGTCAAATTGGCGAAATAGTACGTGCACGCTGTATCATAAAGTCTGTCATTGAGTCAACTGGCGTGGTTTCGATTCCCCGGTTGTACGTGACAAGGAGTATTGTTGCCTGTCCAACCTCGTGGTATTTCTTCGGGTCCTCCGGTTTCTTCCCACTGCTAAAGACCCCTACGCGCAAGCGAATTATGGAAATAAAATTAAACCATATGTTAGTACCGAAATGATCGAGTTTGTGTCCAGTGGACGTTAAACCCTATTTCTTTCTCTCTCTCTCTCCCTCTCTCTCTCTCTCTAGATGTTGTGGGGGTGGGGGTGGGGTGGTGGTGAGTTGGTGTTTATGTTGCAGGTGAATAACTTGGACGACTTCACGCAGACGGTGGAAATTTCGTCTGCTTATTATTCTGTTATGATAGGACTGGGTAGCGGTGGGTAGTTGGGGCATCATTCCAGGTGTGCACCCAATCAAAGAATTGAGAGGAGGGAGCATCATTCCAGGTGTACACCCAAACAAAGAATTGTGTAGAGGGAGTATCATATCAATCTAGGGGTGCACCCAAACAAACAATTGAATTGAAATGAAGTTTAACGTCCTACTGTTCTGCTCCGAACTGGGCTAATGAAGACGGGCATACGCCATACTGTGTGCTGTGAGGGAAATTTTGCCCGGGCAGCGGCGCTACGGTCTACTCTTATATCGAATTCCAATTGCCAAGGGATATTTTACGTGCACGCCAATGTGTACACGGGGCCTCGGTTCTTCGTCCCATCCGAACGACTAGACAGCTATACTTGTCAGGCCCTCCGTCCTGCATCACTCCAAATCAAAGAGCGACAATGAAAACTGATCTCAGTTAACAAATCATGGAGTAATTATCAGAAATAATTCGAAACTGATTGGCTTCTAGTTCTTCCTGGAGATAACATTCATTATATAAAACATATAGGGATAAGCAGATGATAACTTTAGCTGTTTGAAATATAGAATTCTTAAGCATCTCATGAATTGAAAAAAAAATGTCTAAATGTCACGTCTTGGATGATATCATTAGCCTCCAGAATGTCCACAAGTAATTACGGTTGACAGTTCGACGAGTGGACGGACGGACGACTAGTCGAACAAAGATGACGACGACAATATATCACAGTATAGGCCAATCCTTTCACTTACCATTATTTATACTGGATGTCGCCATAATTATTTAATCTACAAAATAAAAAATGAAGTTCAGCAAATAAATTTATTGGTGTATGTGGAGAGCGTAGCACCATGGGTCGTTTGTCAGACGTGGAAAGCGGGCCGAGCAAATGAAGTTCATCAAATAAATTTATTAGCGTACGAGCAAATCCAGTCGCCAAATCCTACTATTGACCAATGCACTCTATTCTTACTACATATCTTAATAACCCTGTGATCGTCTGACATTTTTTAATTCTCTTCTTTGGCTCCCTTTTCACGTTGTGTATTTTCTTCTCACTCAGTAGTTAAGACGTTTGTCTTCTCAGTAGTTAAGACGTTTGTCTTGCCAGGAATAACAATGCATCAGTTCTTTTTTACATTTTATACATCAAGCACTGGTTACATAATGGTACAATGCCTAATTCTCTTAATCCCAATCTACCCAAACTAGCTGGGAGTCTGTTGATAGAAATTGCTACATCTCCTCACTCTGAAATCTAACGGCTGTCTGACGAATGCCGAGAGATATGATAGCTTTGTAGCTTTGGATTTGGACCTTCAATTGTCTAATTTGACAAATATGACGTAATTAATGATATTGCTGTGTTAATTAGCCTAATGACGTCGAAAACCACCAGCGGAAACTTACCACCAGAAGTGTCACACGTGTTTTTTTATTAACCCAGAATTAAATGTTTACCAAATTATAACTCTTTTTATGTCGAAATTCGCCACTCATTTTTTTTTTTTTTTTTTTTTTTTTTTTTTTAAAAAAATCTTTATTTCAAATAATCAATAACAGCATAGTACATAGTTCACATATTACAATCACAGTGTGAAGCATCATACAGATAGCGTCGGTTTAATGTTGAAGGCTATACTATATTACATTGAGTATAACAAATATATTCACAAAGAAAATAAAATCTAATAAAAAAACTAAACAAAAAAAAAAAAAAAACATACAGAGATAGCTACAGGTATTAAGAGGTTGGAATACTAGGAATGGAATACTAGAGGTATGCATAATATTCATATGGTATAATCCCATTTATTTACTAAGGTTTCGTTTAATTCATTTTCTATCTGTTGTTTACCTTTTAGGTAGTTTCGATAATTAATAATTGTCGGTCTGATATTTTCTATTTTCGATTTGTAGAGGTAGTATTTTGTTAAAAATATTAAATGATTTACAAATAAGAATTCACGATATGATTTAAAAACTGTTTCTTTCAGAAAACCGAAATGAATGTTCGTAAGTTGTAATTGTAATGAAATGTCATTAGTTGAGAAGATTTCATGTAAATCATTCCATATTACCTGGGCGTAATTGCAGTATATAAAAAGGTGTTCCGGGGTTTCTATATTTGAATAACAAAAATCGCACAATGAAGACTCCTTTAATTGGACTTTAAATAAACGGTCGTTTGTATATATAATTTTATGGAGGTATTTAAATTGAAAATTTTGTAATCTAGTATCAGTGCTCGTTTTATAGACCAAATTGAATATACATGAGGTTTCACGTTCTTCAAGTATAAAACTATTCTCTTCTTCCCATTTACTTATTGCTAATGGTTTACTGTATTTAGAATCTACTCGTATTGAATAAATGTCTTTTGCTTTAATCTTATCTAGTGATTTTTTATATATATTTATACAGTTGTTATTAATGATATCAAACACGCTTTGTTTTCTTACTATAGGCGTAGGTTCGTAGTCGATTGTATCCAAAAACTCTTTAACTGCTAAGCAAACGCTTTTCATTCTTAATATTTTATTATTATTCATTATCCTATTGATTAAAAAGTCTTCTCTACAGTCAATCAAAAATAAAATATTATCATTCATCAATTCTTTATCTATTAAAGGTTTTTTGTTAATCTTTATATGCTTATTGTTCCAGATGATTTGATTTTGAGGGCTTATTAACTTATCGATTTTTGAGGTGTAGATATGGAACCAATTATTGAAAAGTTCTTGATAGAAGGGAGATAATTTTAAAAAAGATGTTGCATAATTACATGCCGGTAATATTTGTCCGTCATACTCGTTCAATATATAAGCGTACGGAATTTTCCATGATTGAACATCGTGTGATAGTATCTTTTTTATCCAGAATACGCTACGGCATATCATCATTTCTTTTAAGTCAATCATATTTAGCCCCCCTTTATTTATATCTTGATTTATAACTGTTCTCTTTAGTTTATCAGGCCCGTTCCATATGTAGTTATAAAATAATTTATTAATGCCTTTAATTACATTTTCAGGTATAGTTTTGACTGATGCAGGGTATAATATTTTAGATACGCAGAATGTTTTTATTATATGGATTTTCCCTATTAAACTTAAGTTTCGTCTTTTCCAGGTATTCAAAGTATCTTCAATTTGGTCTATACAATTTTCAAAATTCATTTTTTCCGAAGTTTTTTCGTCTAGTGAATAGGTAATGCCTAATATTTTTATATAGTTCTCACGGTAAATAAGGCCTAAACCTTTAATATTATCAGGTAGTTGTGCGTTGCCACTGTTTAGATCGATCGCTTCAGTTTTAGTAGCGTTTAATTCTAACCCAGAAACCTTACTAAAAATTTTTAAAACCTCAAAAAGGTGCCTAGCTGATTTAAAATCTTTCAATAAAACTGTCATATCATCTGCAAAAGCTATTAGTTTTAACGATTGATTCCCAAAGGTAATTCCCCCTATCTTGAGTGCACGAGATCTGACTTCTATAGAATATGTGAATCCAATAATTAGTTTAAGATACATTATGTAAGATTTAGATAAAGAGCTGGCCATTCTTGCTATAATAGTTAAAGATACATTATGTAAGATTTAGATAAAGAGCTAGCCATTCTTGCTATAATAGTTAAAGATACATTATGTAAGATTTAGATAAAGAGCTGGTCATTCTTGCTATAATAGTTAAAGATACATTATGTAAGATTTAGATAAAGAGCTGACCATTCTTGCTATAATAGTTAAAGATACATTATGTAAGATTTAGATAAAGAGCTGGTCATTCTTGCTATAATAGTTAAAGATACATTATGTAAGATTTAGATAAAGAGCTGACCATTCTTGCTATAATAGTTAAAGATACATTATGTAAGATTTAGATAAAGAGCTAGCCATTCTTGCTATAATAGTTAAAGATACATTATGTAAGATTTAAATAAAGAGCGGACCGTTCTTGCTATAATAGTTATATTAAAGATATATTGTGTAAGATTTAGATAAAGAACTAGCCATTCTTGCTACAATAGTTAAAGATACATTATGTAAGATTTAGATAAAGAGCCATTCTTGCTATAATAGTTCGGAAATAGATAATGTAAAATGAATAATTTGAAAATTTCATTCAAAATACTCTATTGCGAGCGAAGATATTAGCCTTTGAAGGTTTGACAAGACATATGCAATAATTTCAACCATGGTACTGGTTGTTCGAAGCTATGTTTCGATCCTCCATTTTTAAATTAAACCAAAATAGGACTGAATCGTTCTAATCTATTTAATATCGGAGAAATCCGATGCCATCAAGAGTTGCTTATGGCCTGGATCAATTAATTAATGTCTAATTAATAAAGAAAGATTTGCAATAGTCAGATTTATCTCTTGCATAATGTATGTTTAAAGATACAATATAATGCTATATATGGGGCTGGAACTAAATACGAGAACAACTGGTCAGGTTTCTAATAAGTTTATAG